TCCGGCCAATTGCGCCAGAAGGTTACCGAGGAGCAGCTCAAGCAGCTGCTGAACGCCATGGCCGAGAACCAGCGCAAGGATGAGGAGGAGCACAAGATTGTGATTAACCGGCGCGGCGGCTGGGATGATGATGACGACCTGTTGGATCTGTGAGATGTGTTTTTAGCGAAGGGTGTTCGGTTTGTGCTGAATGCTTGCCATGTTCAATGATACCTCCAGCTCTCGGATCTCTACCTTCACGACCAGAGCAGCTTGCAGCTGAATTTCTGCTACGACCAAAGTACAATTTTTCCAACTTGATAGTCCATCAACAGTTCCTCCACCGAGGACCTAATGACACTTGGCCGAGTAATCATTCAGGAAGTGGCCATTCCTCATATAATGATACAGAAATATAGCTTCCTCAACAGGAAGCAAAGAATATAATACATCTAATGATAATAAGCATACTGATCCCATCTGAAGCTATTGCCCCCTCTGCTCCATCAACTCCTTCTCCCTCTTCTTCTGCATCCGAATCATCCGCCTAATCTCCCTCATATCCGGCGGCCTTTCAATGCCCAACTCCGCCCTCAACTCCCCGACATCCTTCTCCAACACCTTCTCCCAATAAACATTAATCAACTCCTTACTCTGCAACCCACTCTTCAACGCCCAGGGCAAATAAATCGAAAACAACCGTTCTCTTTCCGCAGGCTTCAACCTCACCGACGCAAACAAACTTAACCCAGTCATGGGAATCAACGTATTCAGAAACTCAAACGCCTTGAGCGCCAGCTCGCCCTCCACGAAAATCGGCAATCCCGTCACAGCATGGTAAAAATCATGACACTCGCGGTACCGCTGCATGACGTACGCACATTCCTCGTCGTCAATGTACTGCACATTGTCCCGGGTGTCCGGGGACACGCCTTCGCGGTCCAGCCAGGTAGCGTAGGTCCGGCCCACGGTGTTCTCGGGGAGGGAGCGGAGGTATGGCAGTTTGAGGGTCTCGGAGGTGATGCGCGGACGGTCGCGGAGTATCTGTCGGCCTGTTGGATCGGAGAGCATGGCGTCGCGGAGCCGGTAGATGAAGTAGGGTGTTGCGGTGGCTTCGCCGCAGGCGGCAATTAGGTCTTTAGTGATATGTTAGTTACAAAGTTGTATACTAGGATTGACTGAAGTATATGTACCAGCTCTTCGGGGGTTAAGAAGAGAACCCACAGCTGACCCAATGGCCAGAGCGCCGCGCTCTACAAAATTCAATGGCACATGGCCGGGATAGTTAGGCGGAGGACGGTTGAAGCCGGAGATAGGCCGTGAGTGGGCGCGGAGCGATAGCGGTGCTGCGCAGGAGAGGATATTGTTTAGCTCGCGCGCGTGCTGGACGGCGCTGCGCGTCCGGAGGACTGTCATCGTGTGTCGAGTGAAGGGTAACACGTCGCAATGGACATGATCCTTGGGCCGGATGGATGTAGATGAGAGTGTGGTACGATGGGATGCTTTCGGAGCCGGATGGCGCTAGTGGTGGGTGTGCGGTGCCGTAGGGCTGATAAAGATCGATAAGATAATCTTTTCCTTTATCGGCGGTTTTTTGGCGCATCTGATCGTCTCTGCTTGAATTGCCATTGAGGGATACGGAGGCATTGATATCGCTGGATGTACTTTGCTTAAGGAATAATTACGCAGGTTCAGACAGGGGAGCTTTGTTTGTCTTCAACCCTCCCACAAATACTTGTCACACCTCTCGTTATCCTTCAATCCCTCCACACCAACCAGTTACCCCTCAATTGTCTAAACCGACTGTCAACATGAAGCCCACCTGGTGGCCCGGCGAGAAGCACGAGCTCTTCACAGAATGGGCCAAATCACAAGGCATCGTCATCAATGGGGTCAGTCCGGCGCGATTCCCTGGCCGCGGTCTGGGTATGATCGCAACGCGAAAGATAGAAGTACATCCCCACGCTTATACCCCCTCAAACTCATATACACCAACTAACATCCTATGATATAACAGAAAGACTCCATCCTCGTGAAAGTCCCCCACTCCGCAATGCTCACACCCTCCAAACTCCCATCCACGTTCACCTCGCGCTTCCCGTCAGACACACCAACCCACACCCTCTACGCCGCATACCTCACCAACGCCAGTCCCTCCCACATAACACCATGGCGCAACACCTGGCCCACAATGGAAGACTTTACTTCCAGCATGCCTATCCTCTGGTCTTCATCTTCCCCCCTATCACCCAGCAGCAACAGCAACACCAGCAAAATCCAGGACCTCCTCCCACCCTCCATTTCCAACACCTGGAGCACCATAACCCCCGGGAAACGGAAACACAAGTACGACACAAGGCATCAGAACCTCCTCAAAGCACAAGAAACCCGTCTCCGCAAAGCATGGGATATCGTTGTCCGGGTATTCCCCGAGACAGATAAAGAACTGTTCACGTACCATTGGGTGATTGTGAATACGCGAAGCTTCTTTTATCTTCTGCCGGGGGCGGAGATGCCGGAGGATAGAAATGATGCGATGGCGTTGGTGCCGTTTGCGGATTATTTTAACCATTCGGATGTGGCGGTATATTGCCTTCCCTTTCTATCTGTGTAGGTTGGATGAGATGGCTAACGTGAGATATTGTGGATAGTGTAATGTTAAGTTCGACGGGGAGGAGTATGTCTTTCGTGCGGCGAAGGAGTATAGTATGTTCCCTACCTCTCTCTTATCGTTTTTGCGAGAGGAAGATAGCGGTAATCTTATAAATGATGTACAGATGAAGGCGAGGAAATCTACATGAGCTACGGGCCTCATTCGAACGATTTCCTATTCACAGAGTGTAAGCCCCCATCCCCACCAATACCACCGCATCTCTACCATAACCGCATTCTAATCCATCTAGACGGCTTCTACCTCGACACCAACGCCTCCGAAACCCTCTATCTTGATGAAATAATCCTGCAGGACCTGAACGCCTCAAAACAAGAAGAACTCGAGTTCCACCAGTACTACGGGTACGCCTCCCATTCACTTATCTATCACTACACACCACTAACGAAGCCATAACCAAACACAGAAACTACCAACTCACCTCCGAGGGCGTCTGCTACCGAACAGAAATTGCCGCCGGACTAACCTATATGCCACTACGACTTTGGCAAGACTATGTGCTTGGATACTCGACCGACGGGGTGGATGAGAAGATGTCAGCGGCTGTGATTCGGGGCTGGATTGGTGTGTATATCAAGGAAGCGGATGAGGCGGTGGCGCGATTAGAGGATTTGTATATTGCCCAGACGGAGGATCAAGGTGTGGTTAGGATGTTGTTGAAGAGGTGGAGGCAGATTCGGGGGCTTTGTGAGGAGGCGATTGATCGGGTGTCTTCATGATATGATATCATTTCTATCTGGGGACGGATGTGTGTATAGAATAAGTGAAGGGGTATATTAACTAGTAGTATCAATCGGTTCAAATATAAGTACAGGCATCCGTTCTGGAAAGACTACAGAATGTCAATCGGAATGGCGCTGGCATCTCTTTGCTTCGACGTGTGCTGCTTGCTCAAAACCAGGTGCTTCATCATGTAGTTCACCACACACTTGATGCCGAGTTCTTCGCCTCGGCGCACAATGTACCCGTTCAGGTACTCGATCTCGGTCGTCTTGCCGGCTCGTACGTCCTGCAGCATGGAGCTGTGGTTCTTCGCTGTCTTGCTGGCAAGCTGCGTGACCATCCAGCGGAGTCGTTCCGGGGAGAATCGGCTCTCGATACCAGGGATGCCCTGGAGTTCGGGAAGGGCGCAGATCACGCTCGAAATCTCATGAAGGAGCAATCGCGTTACGCGAGTGAAGCTGTAGTTGTAGAGGAGCTCGCCGTTTTCGCAGTTCATCACAGCCGTTAGCGGGTTAATGACGGCGTTCATCGCCAGCTTCTCGAGCTGGTAGAGCATAAGAGCGGACGGAGTCTCCGCGACAGCAACCAGTGGCGGGGTGAGAGTCATGGTCCGCAGGAGGTACTTGGTGCTTGCGGCCCAGTCATCCTCGTTTTCGCTGATCGGAGATGTCGAGTTCGAGGGCAAAGCCGGTCCCAGGATGGTCGTGCCGATGCCCGTATGGGCGACCTGAAATGGTTCTTTTCTGCGGGCCAGCCCGTGAGAGACAATGCCTTGCATGTAGTTTGGGCGTTTGCGGGGGTCAGGGAAGACTTTTTCGTTGAGCTCATCAATGACGCCCATGCCGTTTTGAAGTAGTAGAACTGTGGAGTCGGGTGTCAGGCGATGCTTGACGGACTCCAAAGCCATAGCCGTCACCGGCGCCTTGACACTGACGACCAAGCATTCAATGCGCTCCTCATCTTGGACAGACCCGGTTAGGGAGCCTTCAACATCGCCCTCATCGGTCCGAGCCATGGCTTCCCCGGTCTTGCCGTTTTTATCCCAGTATGGGAATGCATGCCACGTTTTGCCATTCAGGACGTTGACATCGAAGCCCGTCTTGATATCGTCCAATCCATTCGAGTTAATTGCTAAGCACTTTTTTCTCCCCAGCCATGACTTGTACAGATTGGGGTTATGCAAGAGTAGAGTGACAGGCGGAGGCGACGGACGACTTGCGAGAGAGTGGGCAACAAATGTGCCTACATTCCCAAGGCCTAGGATATGTATGCGTCCAGACAGTCGGCGCTTTCCACTATCTTTTGACGCTTCTTCGGCGTTCTGCATCCAGGTAGACACAAATCGGCCATATAGTTTGGGATGCGAACTACGCCTTGAGACAAGACATAATTCGCAGACTGTCGTCCGCCGAAGCGGACTGCGCCCCAGTATGTACGACACTTTGACGGCTGGAGAGTAAATACAGTGAGTCCGAGTTCAGGTGCCGTCCAAGCTGAGAGGTGACTATAATGTAATCACCGTCTCATTATAAGATCAAACGATTGGCAAATACTCCAGGACTCACAGCCCCAACAACAGTATGCTCTCAAATGAGAAGATATAGATCGAGAGTGAAGTCGGCATTGCATGAGGGAGAAGGCGGACATATAGCTCTTCACCGCCTTAGAGACCGCCCGGAGATAAAAAATCGACATTATCCGCTTCTTTTCAATCCAACATCATCGATTCCTCCCCAGATATTCGTACACATAATCAATATGGAGGCAGCAGACCTACTTCCGCTACTTGAGCAGCTGGATGACAACATCGATGATCTTGAAGAGGCTTTGAAGCCCATCTTGGACAGCTCCGTGGTGGAGACGTCGAAGAAGCTTCCAGTGATGGATAAAGCGAAATTCCACGTCTTGGTGACTTACGCGCTGGAGTCTCTTATTTTCTGTACGTCACCATTGCAGCGGGGGCGAGCTTGATTGCTAATATCTACAGCGTATCTGCGTCTTCACGGCGTCAATGCTAAGGAACACTCCGTGTTTAGAGAATTAACTAGAGTCAAGCAATACTTTGCGAAGATCACCGCGCTCGAAGCGGAGCCGGAAAAGCGTACTCTAACTCTTGACAAGCAGGCTGCCAGTCGCTTTATCAAACATGGTCTTGTGAGTTACTCCTACACGGCACATTGGGGGGTCGAGGCTAATTGATTAGGCTGGAAATGACAAAATCGACCTGGCGCGCAAGGAGCAGGAGGCAAAGGAGAGAGCACGCGCTCAGCTAAAGGCATCGATACTGGCTAAAAAAGCAGGTGCTACGTCTCAGCAGTCATCGCAGAATGCGACAAGCAATTCCGAGAGTGAATCCGAGTCCGAGGAGCTTGTAAAGCCCGCTCCTAAGTCGGGCAAGAACTCTGATGATAAGAAGAAGCGCAAGGACAAGCAGAAGAGGAGGGTCAGCAAGGAAGAGCACAATGAGAACAAGAAGGAGCGGAGAAAGAAGAAGGATGAATTGCGCAAGACGAAGAAGTTGAAATGAGGATGTAGCGAATTATGTCGATCTGCCGGCTGGACCGGTTGAGGGGCTGTCTGTTACTGGGATTGCAGCACTTCAATAAAGAGTGACGCGCAATCATCTCAGCAACAGATATTGTCTACAGGCTTGCTGCCACGAAACTACTAAAAGTACACATGGAATGATGATACCCACCGCATAGAGGACAGCCTCAATGAATCTGTTGAAAGACGAGTACAGTGAGGCACCGGGTGCATGCCATGGTCACAGAAGACCTGGTGTATGAACGGACAAAGTCTTCCATAGACTACTATACGATTCGAGTCATTTAATCAAAGCAGTGGCAAGTGACTGACAGCGAGAGAATGTTCATGCTCAGCCCTGTGGATCATGGCAATGCAGTGAGTCACTGCCGGAGTTAAGCAGAACAAGTGCGGATAACTTCAGATCCACTGTTCTGTAAGACTCGAACGTCGTCTCCACTAAGTAGCGAATATCACATCCACTAGCAATAAAGCAATTCAAGAAGACAATAATAATATATCCCTCAATTTCCATTCTAAACCCATCCATCCTCGGCATTAAAGCAACGATCAACCGTAAGCGCCGGGACCGGCAGCTGACCTAACGTCCGAAGCAACCAATCAGGAACGGGAGAATAACCAGGGCGATCGGAGTTTTCGAACTTTCTCCGCCCGACTTTCGAGCTTCTTCTTTTCCGACTATAAAACAACTCTCTCCACCCGCTTCCCAACACTTTAACTCACATACAACATCCAGACCTAACACCTCTCTCCCTTAACCACCCTCACAACCACCAAAACAACAACACACAAAATGCCTCGTCAACGCCGTGGTGCCGCCCCTACTCCCGCGCGCAGCGCTCCCACCCGTCCTACCGCTGCTCCCGCCAGACCTGCTGCCGCCCCTTCTTACGGCCAGCAACAGCCTCACTCCACTGCTGCTCACCCCCAGCAGCACCACGCTCCCCCTCCGGCTGCTGCCCCCGCTGCCACTCCCGCCGCTGCTCCCGTCCAGCAAAGCCAGGGCCCCGGTCTCTTCGGCCAGATGGCCTCGACTGCTGCGTACGTTGCCACACATACCTCAATACCTTCCCCCCAAATCCCCTTATATAAATGAACCGAACTAACATATGATGAAATATAGTGGTGTCGCCGTCGGCTCCTCCATCGGCCACGCCATCGGCGGAATGTTCTTCGGCGGTGGTGGCGGCTCCAGTGCTCCCGCTGAGGCTCCCCAGCAGGCTGCGCCGGCTCCCGCTCAGCCCATGGACAACGGTCTCTGGGCTGGAAACGCTACCAACAGCTCTTGGGAGGCGCCGGCTTGTGCCACGGATGCGCAGAACTTCCGCAAGTGCATGGATGAGAACAAGGGTGATTTGACGATCTGTGGGTGGTACTTGGACCAGTTGGTACGTTTCCCCGGGGTTGGTGTTGGTGATTGTGAGTGGTTGTTGTGGGCATATGCTAATGGGTATTGTGTTTATAGAAGGCTTGCCAGGCTGATGCTAAGCCGTACTAAATGGAGACTGAGTATCGAAGGTGAGATTGATGATGGTGGATGAGATGAATGATTCTTTCATGGATGGATGGGCAATATAAGGCATATTGGTGGATTAGCCCGTTATTTCTCTCTTATTTTATTTTATTATCTATTACCCCTTTGTATAACATATACCACTTGAGAAGCTTACTACCCTTTTTTTTTAATGGGTTGGCTATGTCTGTGATGGGCATGCATGGACAGGAACTGAAAATATAGATAAAAAAGGATCATTCCACTCTTCATGTGTTTCTGTTTCCATGCATTTGGTTGCGGTACTTAGATTTGTAGATGATAAATGATAATATAGGTTTTATGTCATTCTCATAGAGGTACATACATGCTTCGCTGCAAGCAAAGGAAGTGGGAGTTTGATACATACATAGCAGGAACTCCAGTATTTGCACTACAATACGGCTTCCTATCGTCTGTCTCCATCATTTCGAGGCTGAAAGTTCAACTATACACAACCGTTAGCATATGAACACCCATCTTTAACATCAGTACTCACCTGATTCCCATTATAAAACTGCCGGTCGTCCCCTTCATTCTGCGCATCCCTCAACGTCCGAATAATCGGTCCTCTGGATGCATTCACCCGTCTGCGCCCCGCATCACTCGATGCCGACGGAGCCGTGCTAGCAGCCGGCGTAGTCTCATTACCTGACGACTGCGTCGTTCCATACCCAAAGAACGATCCCACAAGCCCCGTCGCAGTACCAACCGCCGACGACACCAGTCCGTAAGCAGACGATACTGCTCGGACTGGCAAGCTGGCGCCCGCACCGGAATACGCCTCCGTATAGGACTGGATTGGGACCATAACCAGGTTGGCGGAGCTGCCGAGTCCCAGCTCGGCTAGGGTTTGCTCCTCGTCGGCTATGGTGAGGGTGCGATTCGGGAGAGGCGTCAGGATGTGTTTGAGGTTGTAGGGGCTGCGCTCTTCCATCTGACCATCAAGCCAGGGACGAACGTCGTTGCGGATAGTCTGGGTGGGAGTGAAGCTGGAGCGCACGGAGCTGCCGTCGAAGAGACGCACTTGGAGACGGTATTGCTTCGGAGGGGAGGGTGGGCGCCGTTCAGCGGGTTGGGTGGCGGGCTCTTTGGGCGTGACGGAGGAGGATGGCTTCGCTTTGGGGGTAGGCTTGGATTTGGGCTTGCTCTCTTGCGTGACTGGTCGGGGAGTCGGCTTAGGTGCTGGTTCTTGCTTCTTCTGTTGATGGAGTTTCTTGGTCGGGGACGGACGTTGTTGCTCGGCTCGCGCATCGTCTACTCGTCTCTTTCCTTCACGAATAGCTGCATCGCGGGGTTGCTCTGGCTCAGTTGCGGAGGGCTGGGGTGCAGGCTGAGATGGAGCTGGTGTAGGAGCTGGCTCTGCAGCAGGCGCTGGTGCCGGTACAGGCGCCGAAGACACAGGTTCCGGTGCAGGAGGAGACACAGTCGCAGGAGCATCAGAAACCACAGGCGCAGAGGGAACCTCACCACCACCAGCATCTGCACTCCCTACATCCTGCTGCACCGGCGCGCGACTCTCATCCAGCTTCACAAGTAGGCGATCGCGAAAGTCCTCCTTGGAAATATCCGGCACGAGGTAATCGCACATCATACCATTCCTGCGACGGTCAACAACTTCCCTAACCCAAGAAGCATAACACATACTTTATCACGACGACGGTAGGAAACTTGACGATGGGACAAAAAGAGGCCAGAAAGCCCGCTTCCTGACTACCTTTGGTGAAGCGCAAGAGGACAGCTCTCGATTGGAGTAGTTGCGATAACTGCGCAGCGTTAGCAGATGCAGAAACATGTGTATATGATATGTTGCATACCTCCTCATCAAACGTAAAGTAGCTTTCCTCCCATTCTGTGCTCGTCTGTTCGTCATCTAAGTAGCCGTGTCAGTAATGCGGAGTATCGCCGAGCTCCAGCATCCCTCCATTCAATGCCTGTAGAAAGGAAGAACAAACCTCTAACGAAGCAAACGACAGCCTTGCTCTCAGCGACCGCCGCAGCGATACCCTCCTGTAAGCTCCCAGAGTAGAACATCTTTGCGTCTTGCTTCCCGAGTATGTGAAATAGACAAGTGACAATGAAGCTAGTGGTTACGGAGCTACCGACTGACACCCGCAATCGATAAGCCGACAATCCGCATCGGCGGAAAAGACCCCGTCCCGACCCGCTCTCTCTTCATTCTTCCACTGGCACTTTCAACCCCCAACTGCCTTCAACCCAATCAATCATATCAAAGACCACACCCAACAGCGCGCAAAATGCGCTCCCTCCTCTCCGTCCTCTCCCGGACGGGCACAAGAACCACCCCCCTACGCCCCGCCTCCTCAATTCTGCGCACCGCCCTCAACAGAACAGGAACAGCAGCAGGACCGGACTCCCTCTGCACGCGCTGCCTCCGCCGAACCAACAACACCACCCAGCTTCGCTTCTACAACAACAACCAATTCAACGACGACCAGCGCTGGCTCTCCGTCGTCGATGCCCCCTCGCAAGTTGTCCGCACAGGCCGGAAACATGGTCCGGGACTGATCATTCTCGGTGCGCCATACCCATCCCACCAACCACAACCACAAACTAAACTAACATACATACAAACAATGCAGCACTAATCCCCATAATCTCCTTCGCCCTGGGAACATGGCAAATCCAACGTCTAGAGTGGAAAACCAACCTCATTGCTAAATTCGAAGACCGACTAATCAAGCCCCCACTGCCTCTACCCCCGCGGATCGACCCGTCCGCGATCTCCGAGTTCGATTACCGCCGGGTCGTCGCGACGGGCACACTCCGACATGATCAGGAGATGTTGGTGGGTCCGCGCATGCGAGAGGGCCAGGATGGGTTCTTTGTGGTGACGCCGCTGGAGCGCGAGGGTGGGAGTACGGTGTTGGTGAATCGGGGGTGGATTAGTCGGAAGATGAAGGAGCAGAGGGATAGGTTGAGGCAAGGGGAGGGGAGGGCATTGCCGGAGGGGGAGGTCGTGGTGGAGGGATTGTTGAGGGAGCCGTGGAAGAAGAATATGTTTACGCCGGATAATGTGCCGGCTGAGGGGAAGTTCTATTTCCCTGATATTGAGCAGATGGCGGAGTTGACGGGGAGTCAGCCCGTTTGGATTGAGGAGACTATGGGTATGTTATTCTTCTTCTTTCTTATATTTGATTGGTTTGGGTATCGGATGATGGAGCTAATCTATGATGGTGGATCAGTCCCCGATATGGTCGAGGCGATGGATCGCGAGGCCAAGGGTATCCCTATTGGCCGTGCTGCTGAAGTCAACCTCAAGAACAACCACAGCCAGTATATCTTTACTTGGTATGTTGCATTCCCCCTTCCCTCCCCGGACGCGGTATAGAACCCTGGCTGACGGCCGCAGGTACGGCTTGTCGCTGGCAACCTCCATCATGCTGTGGATGATTATCCGCAAGCGCCCCAACGAGGCTACTCGGCGTGTGCGCCATAACCGGAACTGGTAGTGGCTCGTGTCCCCGCATGCTGGACGGCGTTTGGACTTGTATCTATAGGAATGTATATTGTATCATCATGGTGGCATTGCCAATCTCATATCTTGCAACAGCTCCTTGGGCAGGTGCTTTTGCGCCAGCGAGAAGATCGTGGTGGACTGGTTAACATGCCGTTGCCTACTGAATTAGTATTCTTGTAGAAGAGTGGTGTAATGGCTGAACTTACCGCCGCATCAAGGTTGCCACATCGCTCTCGTCGATGGTCTTGCGCCCCGCGTGCTTGGAATACGCAGCCAGATCCTCACTCGCCTGTTCGAAATACCACGATGAAGCCTGCTCAATCGCGGCCAGTGTCTCTTTGCTGATCTTGGCTTTTGACCCGTTCCGCGCCCGCGCAAACCGGGTGGCCAGCTTCTTCACGACTCCGATGGGAAGGTTGGGCACGGGAATGCCATGTCGGGAGAGCTTCTTCTGTTTCGCGCCGGAGACGTAGCGGTCCTCGTCCCGCAGCCCCCCTCCGGCAATACCTGGACTCTGGCTCTCACTTAGTGCCACCGGAGCGGGCGGCGGCGATTGCAGCTCCATGCCGAAGTCGCCAGCAGCGATGGACACGCTGTCGGCGTCATCGGACCCTGCTCCAGGGTCCATTGGCATGTCCATAGATAGCTCGAACCCTTCATCGTCATGAATGGGCTCATCCTGGTCCAATTCTGCGCCAGGAGCAGGCGGCGACGGGAAATTAAACTCGAAGTTGAACCGTCCAAGATCTTCCGTTTCACCTCTGTATATAGGTTAGCGATGGATCTCCCTAACTGTGCATAGAACTCACCCTCCGTCAAAGTCCCCTTGCGTAAGAACCGTATCTTCACCTCCATTATCACCGTGTAAAATCCCCGTATCATCCCCATCCTCACTCTCACTCTCTAATCCAGTCGCCGCCCCAATCTCACTCATGCGAGGACCGCCCACACTCATCATGGATAACCTATTACGATCATGCTCACTCGTAGCCCGTCGAGGATACTCCACCGTAATATCTTCCTCCTCAAATGCCAACGACAGCCGGGGTGGGTGCATCTCCGGCTCCTCATCTACCTCCTCCACCTCATCGAGCGGTAGCGACAAACGAGGGCGCTCAATTTCGGGCTCATTATCTAACTCATCGATTTCATCTCTCTCCGGTTCACGCTCTGGCGAAGACTCTACTTGCTCCTGCGGCGAAGATTGTATAGGCTGGGTGGTCGGGGCAAGGGCTTTCCCCAGGTTGCGGAGGATATCGAATGTCGTCTCGCGCTGGATCCGCCCGCTTCGTCTACGATCGCGTCCGGGCGTGTTCGCGGCGCGTCGCTGCAGCGCCTGCACTCGATACGGCGTGGATGGCGCGCCGGCGCCCCTGTTTCGCGGGGTGTATCGGTTCGCGGAGGGGGTGGTGGATGCGAATCGGCTGGGAGTGAGGGGGTATTTTGTGTGAGCGGGGAGACGTTGCAACTGGCTCTGGTTAGTAGGTACAAGATGATATAATACAAAGAAAGCAGCTTACCCCTGTGAGTGTGGTGTCTCCTACTGGAGTCAATGCTTCCGAGCCGTCAGACACTCGGGGTGACCGGCGACGCGGCTTGGGTGTGGTCGCCATTGGCTAGCGGGGATGTGGATCTATCGCATCAAGTAGATTATGATGTAGCGGTTATCAGCGTTCAATAGCTATACCAGCCGTTCATGACAATAGAAGCCAATATCGGCAATAGATGAAGAGGGGTTGTATGGCTATAGTGATAACTGGAGCGCGTCTCGGAGAAGAGCAGCAGCGGACAGAAGGGAAGGCGGTCAACGAATCCCAGTTAGACCCACTGATTGGTGCTGCTTCTTATCGATAAGGAGAGAAAAAGTTGCACGGCCAGCGACATCATACGCTTGTCACAGCTAATTCTGTGCCATTGAATAATACGACTCAGTTGTACATCTAAACTACTGTCCAGCGATTGCAAATCATGTCTGACGGAACTCCCAAGCCGTCCGCCCTCGCCGCCAAGGTGGACAAGAAGCGCAAGCGCCAGGCCGAAGACTCCAAGCCGAACGACGCAAAGCCGACTGGCAGCACCAGCGAAGGCCCGAACAAGAAGCACAAGGGCGGCAAGAACTTCAATGACCGGAAAGGCAAGGGCAAGGGCAAAGGAAAGAAGGACGACAAGGGCAAGTCGGGTGAGAAGCCCGCTAAGAAGGAGCCTGCCGATACCAAGGTGACGGAGACAAAGGGCGGCATCGATGAAGCAATTGGAAAGATGGACGGCCGGCTGTTGGCCGATCACTTCCTGCAGAAGGCCAAACGCCATAACAAGGAGCTGAGTGCGGTTGAACTTAATGATCTGTCTGTGCCGGGTAAGTTAGGTTTTGCTGGTATTGGAGATTGGAGTACTGATGGCAATAGATTCCGCGTTCCTGGATACGTCGTCGTTTGAACAGACCCGATCTCTGGAGCAGCTTCCTGCGTTCCTGAAGGCGTTCAGCCCGAATAAGGGGGCTGACCTTGCGAAGGCATCGGAGGAGAAGGGTACCCCGCACACTCTGGTTATTTCTGGCGCTGCGCTCAGAGCTGCCGACGTTGTTCGGTAAGCCATGGAGACTGATAGTGAGAAATGATATGCGGTGCTAACATTTCTGAAGTGCTCTCCGTTCGTTCCAGACTAAAGAGGCTATTGTCGGAAAGTTGTTCGCCAAGCACATCAAGCTGGAGGAGGCTAAGCAGTTCCTGGAGCGCGCACGGTACGTATTATGTGTATGATTTATGGCCATCACTAATGATTTATAGCACGGGCATTGGAGCTGGCACCCCTGCTCGTATCTCGGACCTTATTGAAGCAGGTATGTAAAAGCCGAACTATGAATATTCAAAGCAGGTCTAATCATTACAGGCTCTCTGAAACTGGGTGAACTCGAGCGCATCGTCATCGACGGATCTTACGTGGATCAGAAGCAACGAGGCATCTTCGACATGAAGGAAACGCACCTCCCGTTATTGCAGCTTCTCACACGGCCAGAGTTCCGGGAGCGGTATGGCGCAGCAGAGAAAAAGGTTAAGATCTTGGTCTTTTAGGGGTGGAGTAATTTAATATGGCGTTACAAACGGGCTGGCATCGTTTATTTGCTCATGTATAAACCTGGGAGTTGTTCATAGAAGACAAAAGTGAGATTACCGATGATAATTGATGCAAAAGACTTTGAGACTTAACAACCTTCGAAATTAAAACAAAGGAATATAATAAGCTGGAGTCACGGGGGTTCTTAGAGGAGAATAATCAATAAAATAAATGACGAAAGATGGTGAGGGTACTTTATATAGATCAAAGACAGCAGCTAAGCCATAGAAAGAAGGACCACATGTAGCGCTGTTATTACCGTGATACAAATGTTATCATACTTCCGCAAAGAGCTAGCATTATTATCAACAGAGAGAAGTATATCTTTATCTTTCTCTAAAGCCCCAGCATCTCAGAATCAGGAAGGTCCTGGTTATTATTACTATTACCAACAATCTCAGCAGTTTCCTATGCAGGACATTTGCCGTTACCATTGCATACATTAAGTTTTCTGTCCCACTATCAGATGGGATATTGAGGCAAGAGGTGTGTGTCGGTGGCCACCGAGTGTCTTAGATTGGCTGTTACTGCTTCATTCACACTATCTAGGTATCTTCAGCCTCACAATTACTATGAAGGACAGAAGCTGATCCTTCTGAATAAGTTAAATCACTATTCATTAGCTTTCTCATGAATGTGGTATATAATTTCGCTGCAATATGACTATTCCTAACGCATATGCCATACATTATATGAGCATAGTGGGAGACTAATATGCTCATCTCACCTCCAGAACCAGTAGACCTACTAAAGATACACTCCACCTTCACCAAATTTCAGTTTCCCGAGTATATCCCCGATGTTTGGGCCTTCATATGTATAGTTGTAAAGCCGGATCGGAAAGTTACCACCAGCAATTCCCACCATCCCTTTGTCGAGGGTGAACGAGTTCAATCTGGGCATATAGTCTTTCATGAGCAAAAGTAAGGCCTCCCAGTGCTCTGGACTGTTGCTCCAACAGCGGAAGAAGCCCACTGAGACCAGGTACTGGCCGTTGACTTTCAACAATCTGAGGACGTCCTCTGAATGGACTGCAACAGAATAAAGCGCTAGATGTTTGAGTCGAGGGAAGGGACCGGCCTTGCTGAGAGGTAACAGGACATTCCCATACTGTCTAGGATGATCGAAAGCTTGGCAAACGAGGCGCTCCAGACACGGCGCCTTTTTAAAAGTCTGACAAACAGCAGATTCCACAGAGGCATAACAGGCTTCGGGGTAGACATCGACGATTGTCAAGGTGTGAAGGTTTGTCCAGCTGCGAATCATGTTGTGAGGCTCTATAATTTGAGGGAAGAATGGGTATGTACCCGAGCGAATGCGATCTTCTGACGGGACGAAGAAGGTAAGCTGCTCTGGATTAATGTCAGCTTCGGCAAGGAGTTCGAGCAAGATATTGATATATTCGCTCTCGGCCCGTAACTGGAATAATGATACGTCTAGGTGCATCTCAAAGCTGCGACAGTTTGTGAGAGAGTACTTGAGGTCGTTGATTAGGGTATGGATCTCTGGTAACTTCGAGCAAAGTTGCTTGAAATGGCTGTCGGCGTTGAACTCTTTACCAAGGCAGCTATTACGCCATGGATAGGCGACTTGCATAGTTCGTGGGATGTGGCAGAGGTCAGGGTTCGAGGCAATTGTATGGACTTTCTGAATGTTCTCGCGAGATAAGTTTGTATTAAGCCTCGGCAGACGCGGCAGCATGAGTTTGTAAACGAGGGGGAATATTTTCCTCTCCACCTCTTTGGAGATCAGCCGAAGGGTTAGCCATTCTTTTTTCGTAAGATAGGTGACCACTTCCCACCAGAGCTCGGGCAGAAGCTTTTCGGCTGGGGCCTCTCCTTTTGCGTAAACAAAAGGTCCAGAATGCTCTCGTGCTGGCTGGAAACAGAAATCCATGATTTAGTGTCACAAATGGCACGGTATCTTGGTGGAGAGGGATTGAGTTGTATGTATGTCGACGCTGGTGCAGATGTAGCAATAATGATAGTAGGAAAACACTAGAGCAGGCCATTTGTTGTATTTATGCTCTGAGGGAAAGTTGTCGAAGAGCTTGTTAAGGGTGAAACCTTCTGGACGGAAAATCACCTGGTCTTGTTACAGTGAGTAATGCATCAGCCACTGCTAGAGCTTTAAATGCAGACAATTCTTTCTGGAGAAATTATGTCAAACGGGAAACATCCGGTCATCTCTTTGTGAGAACACATGCATACTATCAAGCACTCCAGCCTGTTAGGGCTTTGTTCTTATAACCAGCCGTGGGCATGAATGTACTAGGAGCAAACTAACATTTGTTCAATGTCTTTCAGTTTTAACATTGACAGAGTATTGGAAGGCCTTTCATATGAGAGTAGTTCAACATGCCAGCGAAGATTGACCTGCCGGGTTCGACAAAGACAGCCCCGGCAATCACCTTATCCTAAATACAAACAGAACAAGGAAGTACAGCACAAGAAGACATCCATCGACTCCTGGTATGGGAAGGCGGAATCCTACTCCTTTTCTGTTTTGAAAATTCCAGAATGATAGAACACGGTGGTGTCAAAACAAAGTTTAAGACAGAGAAACGTTAGAATCGGCAGAGTTAAGGCAGTTATTAGAGGCAAGATGCCATAATTGGAGATATAGATACCAAAGGGCTTAAATTCTCCATTGCAAGTGATCTTATTAATTGTTGAGACAATTTCAACCGAGTCGTCCGTATCCCACAAAAACTGCTCGATACTCACTATTTGAAGTATAAGTTCATCATATTAGTAAATTCGTAGGAATCTTTTCTTGGCTGGACATACCCTTAGACTATCCCAACAGTAACTATCGGTACTGATGCCCTGATCGCGGCATCCTCTCGGCCTGCTTGTCTGAGGGCGGAATCGAGCATGGCTAATTTATGTTAGTTTATACCAGTTATGGATGTGGTATGATATTGACCCATATCTGCATGAAGTGACGGAGATCCACATCTATAGAGAGGTGAAAGACGGTGAAAAGACCAGCTAGCTTCTCGCGGACCTCGTACATTATGCGTAGGCGTATAATGTTATGGATAATCAGGTCGGTATTACGAGCAATAGCAAAGTCGGTGTCGCTAATACATCAGTAAGTGTGTATTTCCTGATTCTGCTCTCCTTTTATCTTCATGGCCCAAGAATATATGGCGAATGATAGCCACACTATGCTAATACACGCAGTACTTGCAACTGCTACCATGCGGGCAGACAACGCGCATACATATCACGTCTAAATCATGACCATTATGCCATTCAAAGGACCTCAAAGGGCAGAGACCGCCTGAAGTTCAGAGATGAAGAAGAAGAAGGTCGAATGAAGTACAAATTTGGGAATTGTTCGCTTTCCAATCTAGGAATCCTCATCGTCCAAGGTCTCCGAGCTCTCTATGTCGAGATATTGTAATGTCTAGCCTTGTTATAATAGGGTCAACGGGCTCTTTCCTGACGAGGTCCAAAGCGTCATTACGGCGAACCTTACTCCACACAGCAGTAGCAAGGATGAATTCGACTTAGATACCCTCGGTATTGGTGTTTGTGGCATCCCGGCCATTTATCACCAGCTCATACGGTGGATTGAAATCTCTCATGCTCGGGTCGTGGTTGGTGATTTCCAATCCTGTTGACTGCTATTGTATATATTAGTTGACCACCCCCCTCAGAAAGACAGCGAAGCAATAAGGTCAAATAACCAGTCTGCGTAGAGTAAAGGCAAGGTAACCCCTCCATATGGTATTTTAGTCAAGAAGCCATTCAGGCAGTGCAGATTTTACCCATGGGATGTATCATAACAGCGTCATACCTATATACCCCCTCCGGAACGATCACACCGGCATCTTCTAGGGCATCACATATCTATAAACTTAATTGATGTCAATATCTATCAATGATTTAACGGTATGTTATCACAGGACCCCAGTACAGTACCACACAGATACACTAAACCTTATAATATAGAGAACTTACTTTAGAACGTTCTAGTTTTGCCCTAGTGGGCCCCCCAAAATACGTGGATCACGGGAAGAAGTATGTGGTGATGGTTTGAAAGATGGCCATGTTCACGGGCCATTAGTTCAGTCGGGCTCAAGTAGTCGCAGGAGGTCTGCAACTATGCAGGCACAGATAGCAGAATATGATATACACTATGATTCCACGTGAAGAGGTGCTTGTTCGCGGACTAGAGACAGATATAGTCTCTATGTAAGTATGTCGCCATCCTGATAGCATGGAACGATGTGCCACGGTATACTCCAAATGTATACCAAGGGCATATCTCTCTGTTCTGTATCTTATTCAGAGACGCATATGTCGGTCAAAGTTTGCGAGACTTGGGTCCAGCCACATAGTGAAATGATTGTACATCATAATAAGAACCCGAGTCGAAGCATGCTCCAAAACCATACATGCCTGGCTGATAACACTAAAGATATAAAGCCATACCTGCATTGATGTTGATGATAGTCTCCACTGTCTTATATCTGCAACGAGTAGGAAACCGGTCCCCAAGCCATCATATATGGCGTCTGTACCATCGTGCCAGAAACAGAACGAGGTACATAGAATAACCTACCGCCACGAAGCCTGCACCTCTTGTTACCAGATGCTTTATACAAGAGTTATCCACTTCTTCTTTTTTCTTGGGTCAATTTCTGGTGCATCCTGTATTTGTTACACGTCTTGGTAGGCATTTGCTTAATGGCCCATATGTAGTACATCCGCACGAGTACACCATAGTCTGGTAAAAGCACCTTCATCGGGTAAGAGAACTTTCAGTGATAGTGCTTTGATCTACTTACATATTTGAGACGGTATAACTTGTCAAAGTTAATTGTGCTGCTTATTCGACTATGGTATACTCGGTTTCCCAAGGCATTTGTGCTCTGAATTTATACCGTTAGACAATGCAGTTAGGTGCTGGTGAGATGCGCTCCCACCACTCTGTGTTTTTATTCACCCATCATGGATTATTTTGGTCGATGTAGATGAAGAGACAAACCCACAATGTGGGATGCGCTTCAAGCAGATCAGCAGCAACTTGTGCGGTACATATGAAATCCCCCGGGAACATGATACTCGTAGCATTCAAGAATACTTCGTGCCTGTCTTTGTTGCATGTTTGTAGTAGTATCAATTGAATGGATTTATCAAGAGAAGATAATCAAGTTAGAAGGGTTCGACTGGTATTTTTCTCAACTGCTGGAGAGGTATTGTTAGAATCGCATATCTCCATAAATATTGCATATTGAGTAGCTCTGTGGAACTGTAGTTGTTGCATCACTCTGGATAATCTATCATTCATAGATAGTATGTAGGGATAGTGGTTTTATCACCGTTTGTAGATTGTATTCTTATGTCGGCTATTGTTTGTAGATGAAGTATGAGATTAGCTTATCTTAGGCTTATTGCTAGTTAAGTACATAGTAAATAACTACTAGTAATAAGGCCCAGTAAGTCAGTCTGCTTCCTTCAACTTAAGTAGTATAGAGATCATGTAGTAAGAAGTAAAGAAGTAGAGGGCAGAGAGAAGCCGAATACTACTTATATACCTACCCTCTAGTCCAGTGAATCAACAAGCAAAACAAACATGAATAGAAAGAAACCAATCACTGAATAAACAAGGAACAGAATCCAACAAATGAATAGAACAATGCAATGTACTTATCAATCTTATCAACATCAATAAACCCCACCACCAACAGGTGAATAACAACCACTCTACCCATTACCATCTCCTCCATGCCTCAGGCACCAGCTACCTCACCACCTCCCCTACTACTCAGGCACCAAACCCAAACCATCCCATCCCGTCCAACACCCCCACTCACCGCTCCCAATCTCCGCCCGGCAAAAAAAGGAAATTTCCAATGCCGCCGATTCAATCTACTATTCTTGCGATCTCTTTCCTACACCTTTATTCCATACAATTCTTCATTAATTAACCTTCTCAATTCAATATTATAATTCACAATGGGTGCAAGTGACAAGAAGCGCAAGCTCGCCGAGGAGGCCACCTCCCCGGAAGTGAAGAAGGCCAAGCGCGAAGACAAGAAGGAGAAGAAGGAAAAGAAGGAGAAGAAGAAGGAGCGCAAGGTGGAGGAGGAGGTTGTTGAGGAGGTTCCTGTTGTTGAGAAGGAGGAGGAGAAGAAGGAGAAGAAGAAGGACAAGAAGGAAAAGAAGGACAAGAAGGACAAGAAGGAGAAGAAGGAAAAGAAGGAGAAGAAAGAAAAGAAGGAAAAGAAGTCCGAGCCCGAGCCCGAAGCCATGGATGTCGACGAGACATCCGCCGAGAAAGAGCCCGAGGCTGAGGCTGAGCCCGAGGTGACCAAGGAAGAGAAGAAGCAAAAGAAGGAAAAGAAGGACAAGAAGGAGAAGAAGGACAAGAAATCCAAAAAGGAGAAGAAGCAGGAAGAAACGAATACCGAGGCGCAGCCCACCAACGGAGAGACCGAAGAAGCTGCTGAGCAGGAAGGTCAGAACAAGAAGAATGCGCGGTTTATCTGCTTCGTCGGTATGTATCCAACACCCACTTTCCCCCAATGCATGGGCCATATAGAACCCAATGATATACTAATATATGGGAATCTGGTATAGGAAACCTCCCCTACTCCGCCGACAAAGAGTCCCTGACCAAGCACTTCGAAAAGATCACGCCCGTTTCCGTCCGCGTAGCCACCCAAGTCGACAAGCCGACCAAGTGCCGCGGTTTCGGCTTCATCGAGTTCGACAACTACGACCGCATGAAGACTTGTCTGAAGCTGTACCATCACTCCATGTTCAACGATGGAAAGTACCCGCCGCGACGGATCAATGTTGAGTTGACGTGAGTCATACCATATCCATCGTAACCCACTATCATTTTCTACAGCAAACTGACATATTCACTATGTAGTGCCGGCGGCGGCGGCAACTCCAAGGACCGGAAAGAGAAGATCGAAGCTAAAAACAAGAAGCTTTTCGAGGAGAGACAGCGCAACGCCAAGGAAATTCAGAAGGAGAAGCAGCGGTTAGAGAAGGCCGAGGAGACGGGTGTGGATGACTATGCTCATATTCATCCCAGTCGGAGGCCCCGGATGGCTTAGACTGCTGCTATTGATGTTGGTATTGGTGTTGTCTTTTGAACACATTGGATTGATTAAAAAGTATATTGTGATTTGGCTTGTTTGCTTAAGAGATATCCTCTTCCGTTTCTCTTCCTGTTTCTGATGTGCATATTTTGGATGATGATGGTGAAGAAGTCAGGCACGGAATATAACATAGATCTGGATGATTACCCTACAACCGGAGACTTCACTTAGTAACATGGAGTAAGATCTGCAATCCCAGAAACCCGTAAGTCACGTTCATTGAGTGGTATTGTATGGCATGTTACATCTTTATACTGCATTAAAGGGAGGCGAGGAGGGGGACAATGTGTATGAGAGAGAGAGAGGCAAGGTTATCCTGAACCCGAAGAAAATAGAGAACAACATCAGGATCATGGCACCAAAAATGGACGAGGAACGGGGCACACAAGGCAAAAAGAGAAGAAGATCATCAAGATGGGGCCGGCACAGGCCCCGTAACCCAGACGCCGTATTAGTTGTTTATATTATTGGGAAGTCGAACATGTCCTTGGGGACGATCTACAGAATCACGCATTTCTTGTTCTTCGGTTTGGCCGCAGGCCGGGGATTGAGGACAGCGCTATGCGAAGGTTAGTTCCTCCGTTCCAGTAGCAAATAGCTTCGGTCGAACATACCGGATCGCCTCGTCGAATACACTCTTCAGGTTGCGCTGCGTCAGGGCCGAACATTCGAGGTACTTGTGTGCCCGGATTTCCTTGGCCACGGCCAGAGCTTGTTCGTAGGAGACGGGCTCCATCTTTCGCTGTCGGAGAGCATCTATGGTACCACGGTCGTCTCGCAGATCGAGCTTGGTGCCGACCAGGATGATGGGGACGTTGGGGGCATGGTGTTCAATCTCCGGGAACCACTACATCCGTCAGGGTCAGTAAGCGGGCCTCCGATCGGCAGGGAAGGTGAAGGAAGCACCTTGGCTTTAACGTTGTCGAAGGACGGCGGGCTAACGATGGAGAAGCAGATCAGGAAGACGTCGGTTTGCGGGTAGGACAATGGGCGAAGACGGTCGTAATCTTCCTGTCCAGCAGTATCCCAAAGTCCCAAGCTAATCGGTCGGCCATCTACCATCACACTAGCGGTGTAGTTGTCAAATCTGGGGAGTCTCCGGTCAACACACGAGGTTCGCAGACAGACGAGGAGTATTCAGGGACCAAAGGGGGGTACGGACACGGTAGGGATATATTCGCCGGGGAAAGCGTTGGTCGTGTACGAAATCAGGAGACATGTCTATTGATCGATTAGCAACAGCGATAACGAAATCGACCGATGTAGGAAACGAGAAGGGGGGAGGGAGGGAGGGAGGAGGAGGAGGAGGGGAGAGAGAGGTCGAGCTGGTTGAAAGGGGAGCGACGTACTTTTCCTACCGCACCATCACCCGTCACCACACACTGTACACCAGCGCTCCGTTAGCCGCAGTCTGACAGACGGACACGCAGGCGGATGATGCTGACCTTGAGGGATTGAGTAGCTGGACCAGTAGCCATGGTCACGTCGAATTGGGAGGAGGGATGGGAGAATAGCCCTCGATAATATATAGGTAGAGTAGTAGCGACAAGGTCGAGAGGGACGAAAAGAGGATTGAAATTATCGCAGGGGAGCTTAAAGCGACGGGGGTGGTGGTTATGATCGAGTGTTTACTGAATAGTGGCTTGACGGGCGGAGAGACAAGAGGGACAACTCGAAAGCGGGTATCTGCGAAAGGGCAAGGCTAATGGTTGAACCGGTCAGGAGAATTCGCAACCCAGGCGGAGATAGACACGGATGAATATCGACACGAATGATAACCTCGAACCGTGCTGACGGAGCAGGAGGGAGTCAAGAAAGACAAAAAAGTATAATGAGAAAATAAAGAGATAAAGAAAATAAACTGGATAGACTGCACGCAGCACTGATAAATCACACAGACAGGCAAGAGGAAAAGACAATGGAAGGTGGATTTGGGGGAGGGGGAAAGAGGGAGAGGGAAGTTAAGGGAGGAGAGGAAAGAAGGTGAGTTTAGTTGGTTAGTTTTAGTTAGTTAGTCTAGTGGAGTGGATAAGGGAAAAGAGTAGGGAAGGGAGAGAGAAGAAGAGGAAGAAGAAGACAGACAAGACAGACAGACAGACAGAGAGTAGCAAGATTAAGAGGGAGGGGGGGGCAAGAGTTGAATGGAAATGGATCAATCAGTTCCAGTTCGGCTTTTGGTGGAGAATAATCTCTTGGTTGGGGGATGGATAAAAGGAACAAGAAGAAGAACAGCAAGCAACAACGACAATGATGATGGTAGTTACTAGTTACTGACTGGATAGCTCACCTTGCTGAAAAGATAGCCACTGGACAGGTATCATGGACCGACACCAATCATGGGATTGAAGCCAAAGAAAGGGAAAATGGATGGGGACGAGTCTGTCTTGGTCGGTCTCCTTTAGTTAGTGTTGTTGCTGCTGCTCGACTTACAATCTTTAGTTAGTTAGTCTTGACTTGACTACTAGTAACTTAGTAGTAGTAGTAGTAGAGAAGATGAGAGAGAGAGAGAGAGAGAGCAACTGATGGCTGGGAGAATCTTTGACCTGCCACCAATCAACTCCATCTCAACCAATCCCTGATTTCTATTCTACTAACTAACTAAATAAATAGATATACTAATTATAATCATCACCAACCATTTATCTCGATCTTCCCCCTCCCCTCCATCCCAGCGAGAAAACCAAGAGATAGATCTCCAGGGAAGAAGGCAAAGAGAGAGAGAGAGAGAGGGTTGGGTGATCGACCGCTGGGAGCCAAGGGACGGCGCTTGCAGACCTGCTGGTTCAGGGGGAAAGAACCAACTATAGTAGATAACTCACTACTACAGGATTACTACTTACCAACCACGCATTTCATGATAACCCACGGACCATATTCCCATCCCATCACCTTCTCTATCCCAACTAGTTAAACGTCTGACCGCCACCATCACTACCACCACCACCACCAACCAACCAACCAACCGACCAACCCAAGCACAGACAGTAACTAACTAACTAAAGTACGGAGTACAGTAAGTAGTAAAGAATTTCTAATATTAGAAAAATCACCCCAGCCAGCCTAGATACCCTACAGATGCATCATCCTACCTACCTACTTAGTACTTACAGTAGGATGAAGCGCCCTTGTTCCCGGTCACCTTTCCGATCGAATAGCAGTCCGTCCTGAAGGTCGCGCCTAATCTAGGCGGCATCTGCAATGCAAGCCTCAGTTGGGGTTTTCTTCTCCCGATTTGTCGCGTGGCATGAGGGTTTGATTTTTATTTTTATTTTTATTTTTTTTTATCCCCTGATCATTATTTACTTTTTCCTGGAAGGAAGTACTACTAGTACTACTACTGTATGGTACTTTGGGATTTGGTCTCGTGATCATGGTTATGGTGACTTCGATAAGTAGTGCTTTATACTGTAAGTACTACCCTGGATCGGGTCGGGCCTATCCCGACAGTAGTACTAACTAAACTATCTATCTATCTACTTGTCAACTACCATCATTTGTTACATAGTGCCGATCTTGCAAAAGTCAAATTTTGTGATCCGATGTAATAGAAGTTATAGTTACGGTAGTATAGCTCTGCAATGAATCTTTTTCTTCCCAGTAGTCCACTTTTGTCTCCATCGGCCTGTCAATATCGTATGAAAACTTGGAAGGTAAGAAGGCTACTACTTATGAATGATAAGAGTGTCCCCCAATTGGAGTTGTGATCTGTCTAATAGTACTCACTGGGTGACACAAAAACATACTCAAGTAGTACTCCGATCCGTCATCTCTAATAGATACCATCCCGTCTAGCTAATCTCAACGCTATCAATTCTCAATGGTATCTAGTGGGAACGTCATAAGCATGAACATATGTACAGAACAGCGTACAAGGTATCCACAGGAATCTAAATGCCCCTCCTCTTTTCTTCCTCCGCATCGTCCATCCTATCACCATTTTAGTTTTTGGTGGGTACACTGCTGTCAATTCGCATGAAACAGAAACTCCCACCGACGCCTGAGATGCAATGTGCGATCTGGTCCTACATGACTGGGGGCGCAACAAACGTGTCCGGAATCCCATCAAACACCCAGTTAAGTGAGTCGAACACCTCCGAGAATCCGGCTTCGCTGATGAAGGCCCCTTGATCGAAGTTCGGGGGGTAAATCAACCCTGGGTCCGCCAGCGCCTCTTCCTGCTGCTGCCGGGTCATGGGACCGGCCGTCGCGGGAAGACTAGGGTTCGCCATGGTAGCTATCCCAGGTTTAGTGGATACGATCCTCGTCGTGACTATGATGGACATACCTTGCGGATCCTCAATGCTCTTCATTGGGCGGAATCGCTGCCGCCAACGCCAGACAGTATCATAGACATGACTCATGCTCATCCGGCAGCGCACCTTCAGCTGCAGGGCGTCCTCTCCCGCCGGGCCCTCGGGGCTGCCCGCATTCCACATCTGCGCCAGAATGTCTGCCAGTCGCACTGGACGGTCGTGGTCCATGACACTAATTCTCCTAATGGCCGAGATGGCTCCATTAAACAACAACTTCCCATGTTCGAAGTCGATGTGGCGTCGGAAGTCACTCTTCAGCAGCTTCATGAGGGCAAATGCGGCGGAAACAATCATCTGCAAAATGTAGTTGGTGGCATGTCCGATAAGCTCGCCAGGGAGGGTTTCCAGATCGAGCACACGACCGAGGAATGACGTTGTAGCGATGAATAATTTCGTCAAATCATCACTTCGTGCGCTAGAGCCTAGGAATACAAAGTATCGTAGATGCAGCTCAGCTGCTCGTAGATGGATCATATTAATGTCTGTAGAGCAAGTTAGTGTCCGCCAAAAAATATCAAAGCACCCGGACAACTCACTGGAAATATCGCGGCCAAATTCAACCTCCATGTCCCGAAGCTCATTCTCCAGAAGCTGTACGATCAGCAATTTCTCTGAGCTAATGAACTCCACCGGGTCAGGCTTGCTGCTGTATAGTGCTTTGGTTACACGGTCGCAGAACTTCTCAATGCGCAGTCGAGTCTTCAGGTCTTCAGAAGGCTGGTAGTCTGCATCTCGAAGCGATGCGGGCTCGAGTGCCCAGTCGTAGATGGTTGACGGAGGTTGTCCGTATCCGGTGGCGACGCTATTACAGTTAGCAGACGCTAGCAATAAGGGTTGGCAGACTTACTTCTGAGCCACAATGTTACAAATGACCCACGTCTGCAGACGATCCTTGACGGCCTCGCCTTGGACCTCCATCCGGAAAGTGGTGAACTCCTCCGCCTGAACTGGGCGGTGCAATCCAAGTTGCATAGAAATCTGCATCATCAACCCGCTAAGCATAAAGGTAGCATCAGTCCTTTGACTGGTAGTAGGCAATGGCCAGGTGCAGAGAAGACAAAGAGCCTTGACCACACGGTAGTCTTGGGGAACTCCGGTAATGGTAGACCAAAGCAGTCTGCTGAAAGGCCCCGAGAGTGCGCTCAGGAGGCCCGGCTCCGAGGGCGCTCGTCGGCTAGCGACGCAGATGATAGACCAGGCCTGCAAAGGACAGCGGCGCAGATACTCATCCGGGGGCTTCTGCGGATTCAACAAGGGAAGAAACGGATGATAGTACTTGAAGAACCTGGACGTCTGTAAGCTACAGTAGCATAAACAGGTGGAGCAGGTATATTACTGTTCAAATAGACGGGCAACCCTTGTCCTGGACAGTGAGACATCTTCCAGCCTCCATGGATTATCATCTTGAGAAAGAATAGACCCATCTCTGTGCATGGTCAAAGGGGTAGCCATAGGCTGAGGCTCCAGCGGCGCCGACAGCGGCCGCGCCCTGCTCGCAACTGCCGCATCAGGAGGACAGAATACATCCTCGGAACACTGGGAGAGCTCGTCGCTGCCATTGGCTTCTACAGACTGCGACTGATCACCAGTAGCAAGCCGCCGCCGGAGCTCTGCGATCTCCCGTTCCATCTCAGCATTACGCCTGCAAATATGACTGGTCAGGAATCATGTGGTCCAATGGGGAGAGGGGATCGAAGGTGAGAAGCTACCTCCGTTTCGAGATGCGTTTAAAAGTGGGCTCGACTTTGCATTCTATCTGAAGCCGGCGGCAGCGCGAACAAGCGTCCGCAGGAGTCTGCACAATATCGCATCGAAGCTGTGAAATCGACAAGGTCCATGTTCAGCCAGTCGTATAGATGAGATAAGATGGGGCGAGTGGAGGAAGGAAGCTAAGCATCGATAGTGATATGCATAGATCCTCTCTCATCCGAGACCACATGGGAGAAAGTATGCCGACAGGCCGGAGATCGAGATTAGCTTACCTTTTGCTGTTTACACTCATTACAGGCCTTTCTACAGCCACCCCTCCGCTTGCCCGTGACGGCGGGGATCTTCTCCATGCCGCAAGAGTCTAGATTTTTGGAGACGAAGTCGAAGCCAGTCACCGGCCGGGGCAGCCTCGGGGTGCTCCGAAGGTCGCTAGAGGAGGCCGGGGGAGTTATCAGATTGGCA